TTGTTATAAATACATGGTAAAACTTTAATGGCACGCGCAAACTACCATATATGAGGTGGCTTTGGGGAGCCTTTGGCAAGTGTCTCCAAAAAATTCCTATAGCGAGCGCCTATAGCAAATGCCTCTGGCAAATACCTTAGGTTGAGTTGTCAATAAGGTAGGTGTGGTGGCCACTACTTAATTTGGAATAGATGAGAATCCCCTGCTAATTGAATGAAGGCCTTTTTATATAAGCGAGCACCCTCATAGTGGTGAGTCCTTTTAGGGTTTATCCATCCTAGAGCGAGTGACCTATCAAGGCAAAATGCTTCAAGGGTGAGTGCATCTCTTAATCGAGCTCCTTTGATGCAAGTGCAACTCTCGATCGAGCTCCATTGAGGCGAATTAGCCTAGTATTCAAACCATGGGTAAGCCCACTAGGTTCCTACAACTCATCCAAATGTTGAGTTAGCATACATATGTGTACAACATGCTTCACACTTTTTCTGCTCACAATTTTGTGCATGCCCAAAACAATACAATTTTGTTGTGGTGTTTTCCTCAATATCCTCTCTATATAATCTCACTAGCAACATAAGAATCCCTAAACTTCTTCATGTCATACTCTCCTTCATTGTTTCTTCATAAATATCTTATTTTTTTACACTATACTCATTTTACATCAAATTTCTCTAGCTTTTAAAATAGAAAAAACATCAATTTTATGTTTCTGAATTGTTATATAATTTTTTGGTAAAATAATTGATAAAGGTGGCATCATGGCTTTGAAAATCGGATCAGACCAGCTGGTTTGATCTGTTCAATTGGGCCATATGGCCAGTTTGGTCCATATGAAAAACATGTTCAAGATCAAATTAGCGTGAACCGGCCTCCACTGGTTCAACCGACAGACTATTGAATAGGACCCAATTTTTCAGAACAGGCTAGTTCAATTATTTTCCAATTTAAATAATTAAAATTTAAATGTTAAATTAAACATTAAATTTAATAAATTAATTTAAATATAAGATATTTAAATTTTTTAATGATTTGTAATGAATATTTATCAAGCACTAACAAAACATACTCACATAGTCCTACCACCCCATGTGAGTTCCTAATAAAAGACAAAAAAAGCTATATAAACAAAGCTCCCAAGTCCCTAGTGATGTGGAACTAAATAACTTAGTTGAAATGTTCTACTTCAAAACACAAATTATATATTTTTAAATAGCCTTTTTAATTGTTTTTTTAATAATGGGAATAATATTTATTTTGTTGAGTAATTATATTTAATTGTTTCCCTATTTTACATTTTATTTTTTAAAAATATATTATTAAAATTTAATTTCTTATCAATTTATTAATTATAAATGATCTACCATAAATAATTTATAGATGCAAATTTATAGTATAAATTTAGTATATGGTTATATTTGAAAATTTTATCTAAATATATAACATAGATTAACAATAATTTATATTTAATTTATACGTTTATATTTGAACAAAATGTATTTTTTATCACAAATTTATATCATTGTATAATTATCATATCAGTATTATATTATTTATTTTTATTACATAATTTTAATATTTATTACACCACCCGGTTTAACATTTGTCAGACCATTCAATCTTGAACCTCTCCTTTTTTCCGGCTTGACGTCCGGTCCGATTTTTACAACTTTGGGTGGCATAGTAAAATGCGCCACCAATGACTATCACTGGGTACAGTACGCATACAACAATGCAAGCAACCTCAACCTTCAACATTTTTCTTTTATTTAAAGACTTTAAAAAATAGTCTTCTTTTGTTTTCAATAATACAATTAAAAAAAAAAAGAATTTCAAATCAAGAATTAAACTTTTAAATGTCTAATAAGCATCACTTTCTCACTCATGGACTTAGTCATAAGGTTTGTTGCTCCTCTCATTGTTCCAGTGTTAAAGGTTATGAGTGTCATTTTCATTGTCCAATGTTATCATCATACCACCATCAGCTACTTTTCAAATGTCAATGTTTAAAATCTAGTTACACCTTTCTTCATCAAATTCTTCATCAAATTCCTTTGCCTACCTAAAATAAATTTCACTTTATAAAGATTTCATATAGTCCCATTAGTGATTTTAATTTAAACATCACCAATTCCCACATTGCTTCAAATAGCCATTAGCAAGAGAGACCTTCCTATAATCCTCTATTGCATAGTTAGTCATTACTTGCTAATACATAATGTGTAAAGTAAAAGAAGCACCTAAATACAAGATCAAGGGCTCCAAGAACTACTAACATTAGAGATTAATGCATTTTGAATTGCTGCTATGGTTACTCCCACCAAGCCTTATATTATGACTTTATCCACCTTTGTCAACATTTCCATATTGCTAGCATTTGTCCTCATCATTTTTGGATTGACTTGTCCTTTGATGTTTATATTGAATTCTTCTTTAAGATATGGATCCGCATTAACTACCTCCTTTTTTTTGTGTTGTTCTTCCACCATAAATATTTGAAGTTGAAAAAAAAAAACTTCACATGATTCTCGTTAAGAGATATCTTTACCCAACTTCAACTTCAAGCACCCATAGGAACTATTGACATTGTCACAGTTTCTCTCAACTCTTGAGTAATAATAAAAATAAACTAAAAGAATTAGCTTCATCATTGAATTTAATATCCACTGAACCTAAATGAACTTTATCAAGTTGATTTTGTCAATTTGCCCCATGGTTTTATAGAGGCACCATCTACTGTCTCGGCACTAACTTATTAGATATATCCTTTTATTATAAATTATTTTTTGTATATACTTGAAAGCGCATTCATCACTCAAGTCGTGATATTCTCGTGTAATATGTAAAGGTGAAACTCTTACTACGTGAGAGGAGTGCAACTCCCAACTATATAGGATATCTCAATCTCTTGGCTTGTAGATGTTAACTTTGTCTCTAGTTGCAACTTGCAACAAATGAAGCTTCTTCTACTAGGTAAACAGCATTTAATCTTCAATTTCTAGTCTCCAAAATATTTCATACCGAGCTAGTCAATCTTCACCTTTAGTCGTCATTACTCGCACTTTTCCATTAGAACCTGATATTTGGCTAACTGTAAGAATAACATAAAGGAAAGCCAAAATGAAAAATACAACAAAAGAGAAGTCACAATAAATTACATGGTTCAATGAAATTACCTCATCAACATCTACAATCAAACAATCATCCAACTAAAAATTTTCACTATAGGTAAAATAGAAACGTCATAATTTACTAAAAAATCTTGCTTTATAATGGGAATTTTCTAGCTGGGAAATTCACATTGTGCATAAATTTAAGAATATTTAAGAGGTTACTTAAAAAGAAACCCTTCTTTTTTCTCTCAAATATGATTATGTATCTACTATAGTGATGATTCATCTCCTCTAAAGGATTGCACCAATTGCATCATTGTAGTGGCTATTTTCAAACACCATGCAAATCTCGAACAGCGCCATCACGCTCTCTAAGCACACAATTGTTTGTTATGGTGATGCATTGTAGCATTGTTCCTCCACAATACCATAACATTGGCATCCTCCCATTGCTTATTAATTTAGAATAGAGGCACACATTAGTGATAGCCTTTGATTGAAGAAAATACACAAGCTTAACTCTAAATTCTCATCCTATCATATAGACTAATAGTTGCACCCATTGCATGCTAATGAATTCATATATTCAGAGAAAAAAAAAAAAGAGCAAAAGGGTTGGGAAAGCCAACGAAGATCAAAACATCAAAGAAAACATAAACAAAATTATCATAACCTAATAACATAACAAAGTAATCGGAGAATTATATGGCTCATTTTGAATGTGTTATACGAATTAGGATAAGAAAAATCTATTTGATTGTTTTATTTATCCTTAGAGGAAATCAAAGCACAAAGTATTATTCCTATATCTCTTACACCCCCTTTTCCCCTTTTCCTCTCAAATATAAAATACCACCCTTAATGTATCATGCATGAAAATAGTACTATGCCACCATTATAACAATGCAATAGGATAATAGTAAATTATGCATACAAATACATAAAATGAAGAAATGTGTCATCTAAAATTAGAAGAGTCATAAGGAATTGCATCCATCTCAATCCCCTTCCTCCCTTTATCCTTTTTAAGAAGCTAAAAGTACCGCCCATAAATATGACCCCCACCCGTCCTTTTGTCTTTAGAATTGATAAAATTTGAGTCAATACCATCATTTTACACAACTCAGAAGGGATGTATGCATTACCATTTATGAACAATACACAACAAGTTCACTGATTCAGCCAATCAAGAGCAATCCACAACAAGCTCACCCAATGCTCAACATTTAATCGTGTCACATAGTTGCCCCATTTTGTTTCAATGTTTTTCCACTTCAATTTATTTTTTGGCTGATATTCAACTATTGTATATCCTTTTATGATCCTCGTGAGGACATCATGCTTCAAAATTTGAACAATATCTTATAAGTAGACAGTACACCCTCGGCCAAATATGCTCCTTAAAATGACCAGTCATAGTTTTACGTAAAACCATATTTTTTTTTCTCAATTAAAAAAAAAACATGCACTGATTAACATCACGTATATATTTTACTGGTTGAAATATATGTAACTGGCAGGTTTCTATTGCCACTTATCAACCTGATCTGAAACATGGTTCAATATATTCTCCTATCTGAACAGCATAACTTCCAACTACTGCCCTTGCCTCCTACGCCCAACCATCCGTCTTACAATCGTAAAGCCCTTTAAAAAAAAAAATTAATCGCAGTGTCCGCGATCCTACGTCAAAACCACCTGAATGTTAAATCACTAAGATCAAAGCAACAATGAAGCAAAACAATCAGGATCATAACCAGTATAAATCCCATAGAATCAAGCCTACTGACAAATTCAAACTCAGCAAATACCTTCACGTAAGATGCTAACAACGCAAATCGATAAATTAAACATCAAAACCATTAAAACAACATCTTAATAAGGTGAAACCTGGCAAGAACCCTAGAAATGCTACATCAATATAAGTGCGATCCAAGACATCTAACTGATTCCGTCGCCGCCGTGGGTGTCTCCCGCCGTGCTCGAAGGCTCGTTTCCCGATCGCTTCGGCTTCCCTCGCTTAATTAACCGAACAAATCTTTTTTAGGAAGGATATAAAGTGTTACATGATTCCAGAAGAGCCAGAAATTGAAGCGTCCGAGCCGACAATGAGCTGGGAAAGGGGTAAAAAGGAAGGCGGACCGCCAGCTGAATCCGTTTTACAGCTCAGAAAAGCTGTAGTACACGTGGCAGAATCTGTGAGCTCCATGTCAGCTATGACGGTGGGAAAATTAAGGGAGTTTTTTAAGAAAGTGAAATAGAAAAAAACACAGATTCGTAGCTGGACAGAGATTATTTCGGGAAAAAAATTAATTTTTTTAATGTTTATTTAATTTGTTGATTTTTTTATGTACTAATTAAAAAGTTGATATAAATAATGATTTGATTGATTTTTAAAGCTGATTATTTTTTATAATTTTATTTAAAATAATAAATTTTAGGAAAAAAAACTTTAATTAGTTAATTAAATTTATTATACTCACATATATATATATAAAGATCTTGCACGTGGAGATTGATTTTTTAGAGCTTGAAGTGCTAAAGGAAAGCTCTAAGATTTATGTGTAGGATCAATAGAAGATTGCTATAGACCTTCAAACTATTCAAACCGGGCTGAGTAGAATCTTGTTTGTGCTCAAATTTGTTTCTTAAAATTATATTTGACCTCCAGGTTGAGCTCAATTTCTAAGTAATTATATTAATGTTTAGGCTCGACTTAATTAAAATCGTGGCTAGCTCCTCAAGCTTGATTTGAGCTCAACTTAAGTTCAGCTCGAATAGTTATCATCAAGCAGCTTAAGTTGGTCAAATGAAGGGTTATGCTATCAATAAACTTGTTAGCTAATTAAGTGTGCTTATTAATGGTGATATTATCGAGTAGGTTGATAATTAATTGAAAAGGTTTTATCGAGCCTATTAACGAGCAAACTATTAAGATTAAAGATGATACTTAATTGAACTAGCACTAAATAAGCATGTATTTTAACAAATATAAATAAGTGGATTGTGCTTATTGATAAAAGTAACCCAATATTGAAAAGAACAATATTCTTGCTTGATCACATATTAATAAATTTGTAATTGAGGACTCAAGAATCATATTCTAAATAAATATATTATTAAGCCCTAATTAATTAGCTTATTAATGCACTTTGCATAAAATTATTCATGATCATAGATGAATAGAGCACCAAATTATTTAAGATTCTTCATTTTTTTAATCAAGTAGTTATAAATGTTTATAAATTTGTTCGATTAGTTAATTAAATGATTGTGAACAAACTTTAAATAAGACAAGCCATGAGTAGCTTCTTGAGCATATTGATTCATTACCACCCATGTTTGTGACACCGATAACCATACACATGTGTAATAATTATGATTGACTTGGCAAGGATGGTTGTAATTCAAAAGATAATGGCGGTGATTGTATCAAGCATGATGATGATGACGTGGATAAGCTATGAAGAAGCAATGAGTGAAAAGCTCAAGGATGAACATTATAATAGACAATATATATGACTATGTTAAACTTGAAAGTGAAAACTATGATAAGCTCAAAGATATCAACTTTTTTTTAAATATTGGGGAGCACTATAACTAAAGTTGTTGGCTATGATTGTTATTATAGACAATAACATATGTAAATACGTGCTATAATGACAAAAAAATTTAGGGCAATGGCTATTACTAGCACAAATGTGTTGACAATATTAAATCATAAATTGAAATAAAAAAAAATTAATGAAATATATCAACATTGGATACATCATATTATGGCTCTAATAAGGCTCATCAAAATGGGAGATGGTAAGTTGCTTGCAACTATAATGAATTACACCAATAGAGCTGCAAATGAACCGGTCGAGTTGAGCAGGTTCTTGTTCATGTTAGAGTTTGTTTATTATAAACTTGTTTGAATTCGATTAGAGATCGATTCAAGCTGTTATGTTCATGTTCAAGATTGGTTCGTTTAAATTAATGGATGTTCATACTGAGTTTGTGTTTGATTCATGTTAGATTTATTTTGTGTTCATCAAGCTTTAAACAAACGAGCCTTGTCGAACTATTTATGAGCTCAACTTCTACATGTTCATTAACTTAACAAACGAACATTATAGGCCAATTAAAATACAATTGCCTCAAATTTATTCGTGAAGTTGTATGATGAGTGTTTTCAAAATACCAAACGAGACAGTTCACAAACATATCTAATAGTATTTTTAAGCTACCAAATGAGCATGTTTGTGAACATATCTAATGAGGATTTTTCAAACAATTAAACAAGCTCATTCACAAACATGTCACAAACAAGTCCTTGCCTTTCTCATATTTTATCACATATGACTAAATAATATTATAAAATAAAGAGAGTTGTGATTAAGTTATACATGATATTATGATTTATTTTAGTTAATATGTACTATAATGTTTACTTAATTTTAAAATTCTTTATTTAATAATTACTATGCCATTAAATTATATGAAAATATTTATATTTGGTATGTTTATCATTTTTCTATAATCCAACATTAATCGAGTTTTATTGTGCTTATTCACGTACCCCGTCGAATCGAACTTTTATCGAGCTTCACGATGAGGCTATTCACAAGCTTTAAATTGTGTTTTTTCATAAACAGAAATTAGTTTAACACATAGTTGTTCAAACTTGTTTGTTTAAATATTAAGTATTTATAAAAATATTCAAACTTGTTTGACTACTTAATCATTCGATCACAAACGAGCTTTGATGGCATCGAGCCACGTGTTGTTCATCGAATGCTCAATTCATTTGCAGTCCTAGACATAGCATCATTAAAAAAGTCTCCTATTGGTATTAATTAGCAACAACATCTATTATTAGAGGTCAATATACGCATCTTTGCAAAGAAACAAAGACTAACATATAACAACATGATATTATTAATGAACCTTATATCCTTCAATGGTGCATTTCACGTATGTTTTTAGCAAGGGATAACATGTCATCATTAAGGATCCATATGCCCTTCATTGATAATTTATAACACAATCATTTATAGAGTTCTGTAACGTTCCTCCTATAATGGCTCAAACTCTTAACTATCAAGATATTGCCCGCTTTGATCTAAGTGTCTCACGATTTTGTTATGTTGGTATAATGTCCCAGGAGGTTACCCATCTCATAATTTTCAAAATGAGCACACTTAACTACAAAGTTAAATTAAATTTCAACTATTACACCAAAAGACACCTTGATGTTTAAGAGTTTAATGTCTTTTTACTTAAGAGATTTCACAATCTCCCCTCTTAAGTAACTCATGTTCTTGCCATATATCTTTAATTTTTTATCCCTGAATCATCCACCAAGTGAATAGGATTCTAGAGGTGGCCCCTACAATTTCAAGTTGTGACTCCTGGCCCGTAGCATTTTGTCCCATATAAGTTTAAACAAGCAGTTTCCTATGGCGTAAAACTTTATCTTGTATGACACTTAGTTCTCATCTTTTCGCCTGGGTATTGCTCTTATACCTTTTATGACAACCTAAACTCTTAACTATTGAGATATTGCCATCTTTCGTTTAAGGGCCTCATGATTTTATCATGTTGATGTAACTTCCTAGAAAGTCACCCATCCTAAGATTTCTCCGAGATGAGCACACTTAATAGCAAAAATTTCTTAAATCAAATTCTAACAATTACACCAAAAGGCAAATTGATGTTTAAGAGTTTAGCTTTTTTTTACTTAAGGGGTTTCACATCCCCAATCTCTAATAATATATTTATTTTGTTGAAAGTTGGCTTAATATGAGTTATTTACAATTTTGGATATATCATTTTAGCGAAAATATTTCATGCTTATCTATAATGAATTATGAATGTCAAAATCTTCCTTGATAAGCATGGATTGTATAAGTATTCCCCATGTGTTATCCCATAAAAGCTTAGGTTGGTTTGAGTAACTTATACTATAAACCAATAGTGAATTTTTTTATAATTAACCTAATATATCACATTGTAGTCATTAGTATCATGGGTGTATTGATGGCAATGATTCATCATTTTGATGTGTGAATTGTTGGTCATAGTTGCAAAAGAAGTATAAGTAAGAACTTCCAAGTAAGTTGAGGCTTTCAAAATGACTTGCACAACACCTAGTACATGTGACCTATAATATATTTCAAACGATGGAATCCAAGGGGTTGTTGGATATCCAAATAGTGTTAGTGCGAGAAACTATTACTTCAATGCAATCTCACATGTATGTGGTGTGATCGCGAGGGGAAAATGATTTTGTTTATTCTATTATTTTAGCATTGTTTGATTAATACAAGCAACTTAAGCCCTGATTTGATCGATTAAATGTTTTTAGCCTTGGCTCTAATTTCTACAATATGCATGACAATTTTTATAATTCCAATAGTAATTATATCTAAATCTCATACATTTATTCTTACTCCTTCACTTTTGGCTTATTTGGACATAGACATTGTATTTGATTGGCATCCATATATGACCTATTCAACAATCCAACAATTATTACATACATAACTTATGGAAGATTGAATTGTAAGGACGTACGAAAACTGAGATATGAGGATAATTTTTGGATTTTTTGAGCTAGAAATGATTTTTTTTTTCATACTAGTAATATTGTATGCTAATATAGAAATGCTTTTAATTTTGAAAAAAGTTGAAGTTTGATACTACACTAACACTAACTTAGTAAACTCAACTTGAATATCACCTATTTATTAAATGGTTTTAAAATATTTAAATTAACTTTTAAATATATTTTAAGTTAATCTGAGTGGCACAATGAGCTTAGGAGTCGAGTCAAGTCGAGCTTGAGCTCATTTGTTACACTAGCTCTAGTATAGGCTAGACCTCATTGATAAGCTTAACTCATGAGCTCTTTAAATAGTCAAGTTAGAGATATCTTGTGAGCTGAATTAGTTCACTTATAACCCTAGTTAAAATCTTCAAGGGCAAAAAAGCTTATCTTATTTTTATTTGCTAATATAAATTAAAATCTCTAATAAACATATGAATAATCACTTTTCTGTTTTAATACATATTTGCTATTTATTATTTAATTATTGAATTTATACAAAAATTATAAATCTTAAACTCCTTCAATATTAATCTATTTTTAAATAGGTCATTTGGGACTTCATAGAGCTTATACTATCTTATTAGAAACAAGGACATAATATCAAAGAGATCTTGAAGGGGGATTTAATTAAGTAAATAACATTTTTTAAATAAAAATTATGTAATACTTAATATGAAAGCATAATTAAAATTTTTTTAAATTTAAATATATTTGTTTATAAGAAAATCAAAATTTTATGGAATTCAAAAAATTTGAAAATTCAAATTTTATGGCTTCAAATGAGCAAAGTTATAAAAATTACATGAAAACTCTTTTATTTTTTCCGTCACAAATGAGCAAAGTTATAAAGATTTTCGTAGAAAATATTCTCTTAAATTTACTTGGCTTAAGTTATTTTGTGGGGTTCACCGGACCGTCCGAAGGCAAATCAGAATGTGTCATATCATTTAGTACACAGTGGTTCACAATACTAGTACATAAAAAAAATGATATGATTAGTTCTGATTCGCCTTAGAATGACATCCGATGATCCCACATAATAATTTTGCCAATAGTTGACCGTACAACACTGGTTTTGTTGACATATTTAAAGCTAATACTCCAACGGACCTTTTTACCCATGGTGACAAATGATCCGTTTCCGTTTTATAAAAGTTTCCCGCGAAAAATACAACGCGGGCAATTCAAAATAATTCCACAGACAAACCAAAAACTAAAGGAAAAAGACTGACTAAGCACTTGCGAGGTTTCAATCAACGTTTGCCATGTCCTCCGGCGAATTCTTTCAGCAGAGCCCTCATGCTACGCAGGTTAAGTTGCTTCTTCCATCTTCTCTTGAAGAAAGAGAAAGGCAGTATTCTTGGCCCCTTGATGCTAACAGTTATTCTTCGCCTGCTGTAGATTGATCAAGACGCTTCTTTGCCGTTCTCTTTACCTTCCCGTTAGTTCTTAATGCTCGAATCCCTTTTGTTTGCTCTTCTTTTCTGACTTTTTTGATAAATTAATGACCCGAAATTTTGTTTCTGTTTGTTTCAGAGCCTCCTGATATTGCGAACTGGTTCTCTAGCTACGAGTACGAATCTCCAGTTTGCTCAGATTCTTTTCATTGGCTTGAAGATGCGAGCAAAGAACTTCTTTTAAATGCTTCAGCCGAAGAAGGCACAATTTCAACCCAGGTTAGTTCTAATCGTTTATTTTTCTTGAAATTTATATTGTTATTCTGTGCTTTTTTATATGCACATTTATTATTATATTTTAGATTTTTTTTTTCTGAAAAACCATCCATGGATCTTACCAAAACAAGTGTTTGGTTTATACTAGGAAGAAAAGCTAGTTGGAAATGGGAATCCCTCGTTCTCCGAAGAAACATCACAGAATGAATACTCCCTGGAATTGAATTCCTTAGCTCCTGAAGGAAGAAACTATTTGACATTTGATCATGAGTCAGCGTTGAGAAGTATCACTGAGGACGAAACAATTGGCACAAACGATATTTGGCCAAGTAAATTTTGTCCAACTCAGAAAAACGAATACTTCCCTATCATCAAGAAGGAAAACCATGGAAGTTTGCACAATATCAGTAATCAAAATGGTATTTGGCAATTTGAAGAAGGACTTAGAAAGCATGACTGCGAGTTGATGAGCAAGCATGGAGGAAGGAGCAATGAAGAACAAAAAGAAAATGTTGAAATGAAGGCCGAAAATGGCTTTATTTCTACAAGGAACAGAGATGGCGCAAAGAAGCGTGGAGAAATTTCAAAACCTCAGTGCTTGATTGTCAATAGGAAGAGAAGTAGAATTGAACTGGAAGATGATAATGTTGTTTTGGAAAAAGAAACACCTTTATCAGCAAGAGGAGTTCTAGCAGAGAAAACCAATGTTTGTATTGCCGAGGAAGCAATTAAAGAAGATGCTCCTGGGAAATGGATGTGTCCTCGCAAGAGCAAGCCGTATGCTGGGCCTCCATTGAAGCAGCTTAGACTGGAACGCTGGCTGCATCGAGATGTGTAGGGCCATTCTATCAAGAAATTATTTTGTGCAGAGTCTGGACTGTAAATAACTGTTTTGATGTGAGTGTACACAACATTTGTACATACTGAGTATAATTTTGTACACAATTTAATTTTTTAATACACAGTGTATACAAATATTGTGTGCACTCACATTCGAACGGTTCTTTACTGTCCGAATTCCACACAGAATAATTTCTCCCTTCTATCAGCCAATTTGGTGCGCCACAAACTTCTACTTTTTTCATTTTCTGTGGAATGCAAGCTCTTATTTTTATTGGTTGTTTTCACTAATACTCACCTATATTCTTCAACAAAATTTTATTCACATTAGAGCTTTTCATATCTACTATTACTTTATCATGCCTTTAATTTCATAAGTATCGGGCTAAGCCCAAATTTACCCAAAAAAAAATTTCATAAGTATCATAGAATTCTTTCTATCATGTAGAGTCAATTATTCATGAATTTTGCTCTTTAGCAAATTAATCTCTTGTATATTTTATAATACTCATATGTAAAAAAAAAAGCCTTTTTTTCCCCATATATTTCAAGTTCAGAAGATTTAAGAATTTTAATTAAAAAAAGATAATGTACTTATTTAACTGTTAGATTTTAGTGTTCATGAATATTTTTTTGTCTTTCTTTACATAACCAAGATTGATTTTAGTTAACTATAATAATTAAGAATTGCATTAAATAATATATTTTTTTAGTTTCAAGATAATTTTTTTTTGTAATAACTTTTTTTATATTGTACTAAGGTACTGTTTGTTCATAGGATTTAGGCAGGATTTAGCATATATCTTGCTAACTTGTTAAAATGATTTTTAAATCCTACAACATTTTAAATATTGTCGTAGGCTTTTTCTACCTTAAATTTTAGAATTAGTAAAGTTTAGTATTGGGCGGATTTAACATACTCGTAAGTTGCATGAATTCTTCTTCCTCACTAATCGCTGTTGATATATCATCAAAAAGTTATTTTAATTGAACACGAATCTCGAGGCAAATTCGTATTGAAAACTTCCAAAATTAAATTCATGGCCATATGAACTCTAATTCTAGCAAACCTATAGTTGAATCGAACCTCTCAAAAAGACGAGTCCAATGATACCAAATTTGACCTAATTCAAAACTTGAAACACATTTGGAAAGTTCTAACCATAAATTGAATGACCAAACGACTTTAAAATGTGACATACTAATAGTCAAATCAAATCGAGCGGCTCGATGAGAAGAATCCAACGAGCTTAATATTGCAAAATTTTAATATCATTAAGACATTCAAATACTTGATAATGATCAATGATCAAGGGAGTCGATATCGACCGTTCATTCAAAATACTCCCAACATGCCTTTGATATTTTTTTCTATTTACTAGCCATGCCACTCTCAAAAAATTATAAATAACCACTCATTCTTCATTGGGGAGAGGGAGAGCAAAGGGGGAAGAAAAGGAAAGAGAGGAGAGGAAGAGAAATTTGAGATCTCTTGCCACTAAGCTCCTCCTCAATCATCGCCCTACCACCGATAGTCGCATAATTTTGCCCGGCCACCATCTGTTGTTGGACTTACGCCCGGCCACCATCTAACACTGAATTTACACCCGACCATTGTGTTGTTGGTCCTACCAACCATCGTTGCCAAACTATGGTCTTTCTGACCACCGTCACCGACAGACTATTGTCCTTTTGACATTCGTCACCATACATTTGTCCTTTTTACCATCGTCACTAGACATCTGTTCTTTTGACCACCGTTGCCTGTCTACTACAATTCTTTTGACCTCTGTCCCGGTGTCTCCATACAACAGTGCTTATGATTTTTGTTCCCAAACAATGGTCTTTTTAATCACCGTCGCCTGCCGACTACGGTCCATCTGACTTCCATTGTCATACAACAATCATTTTGATCTTCGTCATCAGACAACAATCTTTGTGACCATCGTCGTTCGTCGACTACAGTTCTTTTGACATCCGTTGTTATATAATGATCTTTCTGACCACCGTCGCTCGTCGTCTACAGTCCTTTCAACCATCTTTGCCTAACTAAGGTTTTTTTGATAATTCGCAAGCCGAATACATTCCATCTGACCACCGTCGCCTGACTATGACCTTTCCGACCTTCGTCACTTGATTATGAACTTTCAGATCACAGTCGCCTGTATACATTCTTTTTGATCTACATCGCTCATCGACTATGGTGCTGCCGACCAAACAAACATGTAAACACTGATTCTTCCAACTCCCACTATCTAATGCACTCTATATAATGTACATTGGCTACATCGAGAAGGCCTTCCCCATAAGATAATCAATTGCAAATATTAGTGGATTCATTCAAATTAGATTAGGCCCTGTGGGTTTTCCCCCTCTTTTTTAGGGTTTTTCATGTAAAAATCTTAGTGCCTCTTATGAACACTATACCTCTACTCTTTTATCTGTATGTGTGCTGGATCTTCATGTAATGATAAGACGCTAAACTTTATATTTATTTATCTCCGCGAATATTCCTGGACGCAAAAATAGATTTTGTTGATGTCTTCTCCAACAAGTTCCAGTTGTGACTTCTTGACTTCTTTGTTGTTGAGGGCTTTAAAAAGTTGAGCGAGAAAGAGAGGCTATTTAATAAGATATACTAATTAAAAATAAGAAAATAATATAGGTAATAAAAAATTAAATTAATCTTTGTAATTAATATTAATCAATTTAAAATATTAAGTTAAACAAATTAACATTACTTGTAATTTAATTTGATTAAATAAAAATTATAATGTGTTATTAGTTTTATAAACTATTAATAATGATTAGTTTGGATATTTGTCTCAAGTAACTATAATTTAATCTAAAAAATTTGAATTGTTAAAAAGTTTTTGTTAATTAATAATCTTTATAATTAATATCAATAGATTAAAATTTTATTATCTTAGATTAATTGATATTTTCTTTTGTTTTTGATTTAACATATCTGAATATAAATTATCGTTTAAGTATCTTAGTAAATTAATAATTAATTATTAGTTAAGATGTTTAATTCGATTAAATGTGATTTAAAAGGATGAAATATCACCTCCTCAATTGGGATAGGACCTATTAAAGCAATCACAAATCACAATATGGATGTTGAAGTCATCCAGTCACAATGAACTAAGCGAGGGAAATATTCAGATCACCTTGAAAATTTATTTTTTTAAGAAGAATAAATATTTTAATTATTTTGCTCACCTTTAATAATTATAGATGCTTAAATTCTAATTTTTTTCAATTATATATATATAATTATGCACTCACAATTTTATGTGCCCACCCTCAGAAGAAAGGCTGATTTTACCCTTACATTAACACATGGAACATATCTTTCTATTCAATGTTATTGAGGTTTAAATCCTTGCATCAAATTCTCTAAAATAGTGAGAGGGTGTTGGGAAAGAGAAAGCAAGACTTGAATCAAATCAAGGCGCGCGCACACACAAGGAGACAAAATAAAAATGCAATAAAAAACAACTATGTTGAGGCAAAGTGCTAATCTTGAAAGAGGAACACACAAAATAATTCAAATGAATATCAAAAGATGGAGAAAGATTTCAACCCATTTGAATCGTCAAAACTCTTTTGGCTTTGAAGAACTTCGTGATGTCAGGAAATCACACTAAGGTTTTGTTTGGGACAGTTTTCTTGTTGCTTTCTAAAATAATTTTTTAGTTCAAAAATTTCTTAAACTAAAATAAATTTATACTAAAAAACTGCTTCAAAAAATAATAAGAAAATCATGTCGAACGAAGCCTAAATATGTTACCTTCATATAACAGCACATTTCACTTAAAATTGCAGATTAAGCAGCCCTTGCAATCCAGTATACAATTGTTTTCGAATGCCTACAATTGAAATATTGCTTGGAAAAATGATTGTTTCCTATATCAAGCTCTTGTTACATCCCCATACAGCTTATACTCATCACAGAAAGGAAACAAATATTTGATTGTCGAAATAATTACATTTTTATCTTGTTATAAAAAACATGTAATTTATACAATTGCAATTTTGTATCAGCATGGCAGCATCGTAAACTTGCTTGCAAAGTTCAGTACTTTCATGATTTGTGCTTCACCCGCTCTAAGTTTTGGAGATGCATCTTCAATATTGCATGTTCATGTCGCATCACTTCCAGTCTAGTTTCGACCATAGCCATTTCTTCTTTTAGGTAGTTAAAACGCTTTTCAATCCATTCTACGTTCTCTTTTCTATAATTTCCAAGTTCATCAATGGAACTGCCTTGCGTAACAAGATGAACTTCAGGTACCCTAGTCAGTAGTACAATAATACTCATCTGCAAACAACATAGAAAAAAATATTGCTAAGGAAAATGTTAAGGAAAGCATTGGTAAATAAAGAATGTTGATGTAACTTAGGCTTCATTTGGTTATCCGATGAATTTTGTAAAAGGTAGTTTAAAAAAACAAATTGTTTGAGAGAATGGAGGTTTCTAATGGAGACGTCAATACTAAAAAGCTTTTGAAAATGGTAAAAAATGAAGTACCGTAAAAAGCAATTTTATAGAAATGTCACATACAAACATCAAATAAAAAATAACTTTACTACTTCGAAACAAAAAATGCAAAATTAAGCCGTCTTAAATGAGGCCTTAGGACTGCACTAATAATCTAAATTATCAACAAGTGCAAGCTTCTTCTACGACACTTATAACATGCAAAGAATGTATGCTCTTCTCAACGTCAACAATATCTACTACAATTATAATACCAAAGAAAAATCACTTTTTTTTTTTTAAAAAAGTAGAATGACAAATAACAAGATGCAGATGTGCTTGTGTGTATTCTTTTGTCATAATAAATTTCAAATATTATTTTGCAGTATCTTGGACATCAAACTGTAGTCAAAATATGTGAAATATTTAGCAGTTCTTCTAGAAATTTCGGAAAGAATGATATATCACAACATAATAATGGTAAATGAACTAATCATTCTCTTCATAGATACCAAATTTGCATTTAATGGTAAAAAGCTATAATACCTGCATTAGGATCAGCATTGCAACCAATCCTATAATACCTAGTAGAAGCGGTAGATGACTATCATGCTTGAGATATGACATGAAGGCCACCCATGCTTCTCTTATAATAGATGATCCACAATGGGACCATATAGATCTTTCTTGAACCGCATTTTCAATCAGTGAAGTAAAATTTTCTGGATGATGCAGAGTTTGCTGCATATCTGCAGATGTAGCTTGAGGAAGCACTTCGGATGTTTCCTCTAGTTCTGAAATATGTGATCTGAGATCACTACCCTGAACTGTATATATATCTAAAGAACCTACAGACAAAAAAGAGGTGCATAATCCAGTTAAGAAAGGAAAATATATCAAAAAAATTTCAATAATTATTGTTGCAACATCAGACCTTCCTGGTTCCCAACTTTCTGCTTCAATAGTTCATGTGCCTGGACAAAATTAAGCAGTCAATAAATGCTATTTTTACAAGGGAAAGCAACATAGAATGCGAAGGCAGGAAAAATGGTTGAAACAGGATAAAACAATACATTCTGGATCCATATACCATAAACCTCACGGCACTCTTCTTTCGTTGATTGCTCTATCTTTCCTGCAAAAAAAACAGCGAAATTACAATCTAAGATTACTACACTGTTTACAATGAGTAAAACATTTAAACTCTTTACCGAGGCATCAAGCCATCAAGTTTCAGGGAGGAAAAAGATAAATACAAGTCCTTAGGGCTCACTCTCCACAGAAATTAGTTGAAAACAATCATGACTCACTACAGCTCCTTTTAGGTGATTAGAAAATTTTCATTATTCGTTAAATTTCTTGCTAATGACATATTAACTCTATGAGAACTGCTTAGAATTAGGGATGCCAAATGGGTTAGCCCAGCCCTAATGTGGCTTGAATTTAAATAAGCTGAAATTATCAAGGTTCAACAAACCCAGGTTCTAATAAGGCCGCCTCAGGTTCTAATATACCATGCGCATTTAATTACTTAGCCTAGGGCACGCTCCAACTCTTTGATAGTTTGATTTTTCCTCCATAGGGAGGTTCGTAAGAGACTGAAGAAATCAATCTTTACTGCACTATGCTCTTCATCCCTACTGATTTGAAAACCATCTTAGAGTCTTTGAGTTTCACTATTTTCCCATTATTAGGTTGAAATGGATCTCCAAGTATCCGATTTTCCCTGTCTTCTGATTATCAATCTAAATCAGTAGTCGAATCATCTATCTTCCTCCATCATTGACATTTGACAATATCATTAGGTGAAGCCGATCTTCAGTGTTGTATCTTCTGTTGAGAAAGAATTTTGTTAAGGCGGATCTTCTAGCAATGGTATAAGTATTGAAGGAAAGGAATACCATGGGGGCGGATTTTCGATTAAATCCCAAAATAGTCCCTTGAATATATTTATTCATGTGGCAAATTTTGTTTGAGAATACTATATTTTATTAATTTAGTCCTTTGACTGTACAAATTAATTCAAAAATATTTCCTAATATAAAAATTGTGATACACAATTGATCCCAATTTAGGCATTTGACCATATAAAATTGATCCAAAATGTCCCTTGTGACCCATTTTGGATCAATTTTGTATCATTTGGGGACTATATTGATGAAATGTGACACTATGGGACTAAATTGGCTAATACAAATAGTTGAGAGGTCATTTTGAGATTTAACCCAACTTTTATTTGCATATAATTTTTTTTTTGTTGAATGTTAAATGTTGAGTATTTTTTTTAAATTTTTCAGCAATTCTTTAATATTTTTATCGCCATCACATTTTTTCTTTATTTTTTCACATTAAGTTTATTTAAATATTTTAGTGATGCATGCTATGCTCTCTCATATGTATGTTAGTACTGCGTAAATCTAATTTTCATTACCTTAGGGTATTGAGCTATTAAGAAACTTGTGGAATTTCACTGTGATCTTAATTTAATGGTTTCATTTTGCGACAAACCATCTCATAAGAGGGCCCCAATCGTAACTATACTTTTGTGATGATATTTAATAGCAAAACCACCCATCAAAAGACGGCATGAGATTTTTGAGAGTGATTATAGAGGTATGCATAATATGATATTAGTTATTTATGAGTTTAAGTTATCTTAAAATTTGCACTCTAGTCGTACTATTTTAAAGAGTAGATGGTTCCTTTAAGCTTAGAATGATAATTTGACTTAAACATTGTTAGAATTTTACTTTTTAATTTTCAAATTTTTTTTATAAATGAGCTCAAATAATTTACTTTGAAATTTACGAGCATTTTAACCATAGAGTTCGCTCCAGTTGAGATTTTTTATCACTATGACAATCGTCGGGATAGATTGTTGGAAGAATTTGCATTTGTAATTTGAGAGCTTTATTTTGAAAATGAAACCCTTTTGTTATGATATGTGATGGACCATGCCCATCACAAGGGTATTTGAACGACTGCATTTGATTTCTTTAAACATTATTGACTATGCTTATTTACTTGTAAAGGATTGGGTTTGCATGTTTGCATCACTTTAGTTAATTTGGAAATTATTTGCATAAAAGTGTCATGGGGCTCAAGTATTATCAGCTCTGGTACTTGGAAATGAAGGTAAATTTTAAATGTGGAATTTATGATCTTGTCCTTTAAGCATAGCAACTTGCTTGAGAGAATTATACAACATTAAGAATTTTGATATTAAAAAAAGAGTTTGAAAAAAGTTTCAAAATGATTGCATTTTATTTATTATTTCTTTATAAGCAGTTGCACGGTTCTCAAACCAAGGTGAATTTAAGTTAAACTTATTTTTAATCCGCACAACATACTCTGACTTTAAGTTTTAGTATTTAAGACATTTATTGGAGCACATGCAGACATTTGATTTAAAAAATTATCCAGGTTTAACTATTTGCATGAGTATTTTATCATTGAGATACATGAAATCTTTCATTTTGAGCTTTAGATGTTGCATTCTATCTACTTACATAACCATGTTACAGATTTGGTTGCAAATTTAATGAGTTGGAATTTATCACATCTTTTAATATATCATAATTTTGTTTGCACAAGGATTATATGTTATTGAAGTATGCTCTATAGGGGATCAACCTTTCTTTTATAAATAGGAGAGTTGTGCTTAGTTCTTTTTCACCCCATTCTCATTTAGTCCATAGTATTGAAAGTCTAAATGTAGGGGGAATGTTTTTTTTTTTTGCGCTCTTAGGAGAGTTACTAAGTTCTTGTAAGTTTAATTTTAATTCCATTATGTGTTTAAATTTATTTTTAGTTTGCGATTCTATTCTCATTTTTTGCAATTGTATATTTCACTCATTCATTATTCTATTCATGACCATATGACTTATTTTAATTTTATTATGTTGGGCACTGCATGTGTAAATTTCAACAGCCTTATGACATCTCCCCATTGTAGAAGGCATTGGGGGGAGCGCTGGTTTTACTCACTACATTAAGAAGAGTGTGTATTGGTGATGTAAAACACTACAATCTTCTACCATGTAATGCAAAGAAAGGTGTGTAGGGGTCTTTGAACCTGCACAAAAATTTATAACACAATTTTCCCGCTGCATAAAAAAAGATGGGTAAAAGTACTTATTTTTAAAGAAGAGAGTTTTCTTTCCCTATCGGATAAAAAAAGTTGCACATGGGCCTTCTCCCCACCAAGCTAAGAAATGCAAGCATGGAAGGCATGTATAGGTCACCTACATGAGTATACTTAAGCACAATGTCATTTCCCAGTTGCATCGGGAATGACACATTTACTTGAATGTTGGGTCGAGGGCTTATTTTGCATTATACTTTCGTGTGTGCGACTATGACATGACAAGGAATTTGTGCAAAAATCAATGCATACTGAATTTGCTTTTTTTCCTTTGGTTTCTTTTCCTCCTTTTCTTTCCTTTTTTTTTTCTTTTTTTTCGGTCTATTTACCCACTTTTTCTAGAGATAAAAAGAGAAACAGGGAGAGAGCAACAGAGATAGAGAGAGATAAATGGAGGGGGAAAAAGAGAGGGAAAAAAGAGAGTGAAAGTTGGCCAGCAAGTTGGGTTGGAATTGCCAATGATCAAAGGGGAGTCATTAGCCAAAGGAGGTGAGGGTTTGTGGTTCTAGTGGTAGCAGGAGATGAGTTCATGAAAACAAGAGATGTGAAAGGGGAGAAGTGAGAAACAAAGGCAAGTAGACCATGGGTTATTTAGTTGAGCGGGTGAGAAAGAATGTGTGAGAGGCTAAGTAGGGTTGAGATAATGAGTGAGTATGCATGCAAGTGGAGTTTGAGCAGTAGTCAAGGGTTGTGGCTTAGGAGTTTCAAAGGAGAGGAGAGAGGGAGGAGATAACATCTAAGGTGATGGAGAAGTTAGATTTGGAGAATCTGAGAGAGATTGTCGATGAATAGTTGGGGCCTTATAGAGAGCAACATAGGGAAATCAAAAGTATAGAGCTTCCATGTGTGGGAGAGTCACAAGAGTTAGAGTGGGGGTTCATTCATCAGGGAGCAAAGAGAAAGAGCGAAGTGGATGACGGCTTTCATATGCAGTAATTATGAGGAATAGATTGATGAGAGATAATTGCATCTAAGCAAAAAGATAAGTAGAAGAAAGGCATCTGAAAGATCAAGATGGGAGCATGTGATGCATTAGGGCTTGAAATAATAGAGTGTTTGGGTAGTGGGATAATCTTTTTTTTTTTTTTTGGTAATATTTTAATCTTTTATAATAATAATATTGATTTTAATATTAAATTATGTTAATTAATTATTTTTAATATTTTGAAATAAGTTATTTGTGTAATGATCCCTTCTTGTGAAGCCTCCTTATTCCAATTGAATTTATGTCATTGCCTTGCCTACAAGTAAATTTTACGGAATTTTCTCGCGCAATAACTCGAACAATATAGGTGTCTTTTCTGATATTTCTTGATGCTTCAAATACATGAGCGCAATCCATTTTGTGAAACGAGTGATGTTCGAATAAATTTTGATACACATGATACGTTTCAAGCTAGCTTGTGCAATGACGTGTTCGTTGGTCATCATATTTTTCAAGTTTGGTTTAAATGATTCGTAGAGCAAGTATTGAGGTCAACAATATCACAAGCATAGGTGTGTTAGTATCGAAATTGAGATGTGACTTTAGTGAAGTGATCTATGCCTAACACTAATGGGGTAGTGGAATTTTGAGAGAATAATCTTACTCCCACAACCATGACGATAGAAATTTTACAACATAATAAGAGGGACAAAAAATCTGATTACTAGAATTAAGGAGATTATTCCTTAAGTGCCTGCATTAGAACAATAATTTTAATTTGAGAGAGATGAATAATTGGGCAAACATAAAACCCGAATCCCTTGTTATGGGAAATCAGTAACTAAATTACAAATTTATATAGTTATGAAGTAATTCTAGCTCATGCTTGCAAGAAGCCAACTAATAATGACAATATATCAGCCCCTTGTTGTGGTTTAACAAACGAAGTTTAATTTAAAACTGATACCATCTCTCTTAGACTATTTAGGTTTAATTTTAAAATAGGCAAGTTCCTTAACTTTATATTTACATGATATATAATATGCCACATCACGTCTTTGATTTTGGCGTTTACCATTAGAAACAAGGAGAAACAAGGATTAAATTCTTTGGGCAGTACATCAGCATAAAAAAACAATGCTTGCCAACATGAACATATATTTTCTTCACTCCTAGCAGCTAGGGTTTTGATCCAATAAGCCACACACACTCAATGATAAAAAAATCGATATTAAATAGGTTAACTATTTTGTAGACCAACGTCTTATGTTAACCAGCAAAAAAAAAAAAAACAGCCCTCGGCAATAAAATATCATCAAACCGTTCGAAAAAAAATATATTTTTTCAAATTACTAGAATGTTCAAAACGATAAAGCATGTTATTGATCACATGTAAAACAAAAAAGGGAGAACAACGTAAGGTGTGCAGCAAAGTCATCTTTTAACACTTAAATAAACTAATGTACTGCAGAAACAAGCAAAGATGGCTAGCAGCAATACCAAACAAAATTGAAAAGTATCACATATCAAAATGTACTAGTTGAAAAATCTTATGATAGATGAACCACATAAGAGCCCTGGAAAAATAAACAAGACATCAACAAATTTCAGATACAACAGATACAACAACATCAAGGCTTTATCAAGAAAATTTCAGATCAGTGGAAAAAATTCAAATATGCTACCTTAGTTTTAGAAATGATAGTTAAAGCAAAGAATTCAAAACCCCACTTTTCATACATAAAATTATACCTCTAAATATAGTTTTCTTTGAAAAAGAAACTTTTGAATACACGCGAATGGTGCAACTATTTTCTTCACTGCCATTCTGCTGGACATCCCATAGGCCCTATAAGTGACGCACCAAAAATAAAAAATACCAAAAATTAAAAAAAGAGAGACACATTTTGATTTAAAGACTATTTCAAGTCAACAGATGATAATACTGAAATAAACTGCAGGCTAAGCATGGAAAATTATTGATAGCCACAAACCAAAGATCTATTAGCTTAAAGAGCAAAGTCAAACTTAGCAAACTACGGAGTTCAGATGGAAGATTCTAACAATAGTAGAAAAATGTAAGAGTATATAATTACAAAAGGAACCTTAAGTTAATCCATAGAATCAAAGTGATATCCAATCCATTCGCGGGAAACTTTGAAAATGAGTGGGACTGATAGCAAAGTGCTACACAATGATAACAAGGTGCAAAAGCACCTACTGTAGGCCATTTCATTCCCTTTTGAGGTACATTTCACCACATCACCAAGTAAAACAATCCCAGGAAAATCATTTTCCCAACTAGTTTTGACACATGTAAGTGAAGACTATCTATTATGGGTCCCCAATATTCCAAGCATTGATATTCTTCAATAGAAGAGTTGCGTTGCATCAAAGAAAATTTGAGTGAGGAGAAGTTATTCAATGTAGGCCTCTCTTTACATGTGGGGAGATTCCACATGCTTACATAGAAGAGTCGAACCAAGGGCTAAGAGATGTGCAATCTAGATCTTGGAGTTTCTTCTAAGCAACCCCAACAAGACCTAGAGGAAGAGTTTTCCATGAAGGAGGATGATAACACCATCACACTAAGTATTGGTGAAGAAACTTGGCTCGCAAGGATACACATGCTCGGGAAGATCTTTAATCATATTTACATTGGGTGCCAACATATGATTGTTTAAGTCATATTTCTTCTGTTTTAATTTTAATAAATTTTATTCCAGATTGCATTTTTTTTTTCGGGCCATCCATAAGATGAAGTTAAAAGAGTTGGATACCCTTGAACTTATGGAACAAAGAGTTTGCGGGTAAAGGTATAGTTTTAAAAATCGGATCGGACCGGCTAGTTCAACTGTGAATCAGTCAGGTGGCCGGTCCGATCAAGCTTAAAAATCGGCTTCGCTGGTTCAACTGGTGAACTGCTGAACCAATCCGAGTTGGAAAGAACCAACCGGTTCTATAAAAAATTTTAATTTTGTTTTAATTAAATTTTAAATAATATATTTTAGTTTATTACTTTTAACTTTTTAAAATATTTTTATTAAATATGATGATTAAATATACCATAATACATGTATGTTATCTCACATAATGTATTTTGTAAAAAGTGTGCACTTCACTATTGTTGCGTCCTGAAATATTCACGGTGGTAGAGAAATATAAAATTTAATGTCTTAACTTTGTACGAAGATCCAAACACAAGAAGATAAAAGAGAGGATGTAGCGTTCATAAGAGACACCATAGTTTTTATGTGGAAACCCTTAAAAATGGAGAAAAACTACCGGGCCTGACCCAGTTTGAGTGAATCCACTATTATTTGTGGTCGATTACAAATGAGGCGATTCATTGGGGGAAGGCCTTGGGTTGATGTAGCAAACATACATTATATTACATGGTGGGAATTGGAAGAATTAGTATTGAAATGTTCGTTTAGTCAGCATAATCATAGTCGGCGAGCGACAGAGGTCGGAATACCCCCCAAACTTTCTACCCTTGCATGATAATAACTAAGTGGCTTCTCGTTTGAGATGCTTGGAAACCTTGCCAAAGGTTCTGAGATTTTTGTTGTAACACCGCCAATCTCTTAGATTGTCAACCAAAGTTTTACACAATGCCCATAGTCCATGAAAATGAAGGTTGATGAAAATCCACTAAGAATTTTGAACCTACATACTGGGTTGTCGGTTAAAGTATAACTTGATGACTTTAACATGCGACGAAAGAGGTTAAATTAAGTCCCCATGGATTGATTAAGCTTTGATTAAGAGGTAGTGGAGGCGTATATTTCTCAGGTCAATGATAAAAAGTTTGTCTTAACATCGTTGTTACACTTTCGAGATGGTGACACAATTTTGCCCAAGGATAAAGAGAGTTTGGAATGTTACAAGTTCTATTGAAATAAACAAAAATTGCGAAAAGTTAACTTTCATTATTCTTATAGATGTTCTATCGAAACTTTATTTTTTTAAAGGGGAGCCAATCATATGCAAAGAAAGGAAAGGAAAAGAAACAAATTACTCATTGTATTTGTTGAGGTATTCCCCATCCTACGTTCAAATTTCAAAGTAATATCTCTTTGAGTCTTTTAGCTTAAATGTCTTGAGTTTGGCCATGCTTGTGATTGTGTAGGGACTTACCATATAGATGTGACATTTGTTGACTTCAAAGAGTCAAGTCTTTCATAGAGAATGTGGTTGCTCCCTTTGGTTGCAGTGGCAAGCCACCCTTGTTGATGGGGGGTCATCTTGATTACGTCTAACTCACATCTCTCTGAAAGAAGGTCCAAATTATAACGAGTTTATCATCATTGTTATAAGTACCAAAACTCTAAACCCTAAAGAATTGGAAGCCTTATGTCAAGAGCAAAGACAACCAGTATGCTAATGTATAAGTTAAATGATGCTCACTAGTCTAGGTTTGCAAGGAGGTGCAATGTACCTATAGGATGTTGGCCAGCTTCTCAACTCTTGTCCCTAAGCCCTCTCAATGCACGTGTTGTTAGCCCTTTTAAAATCATCTATTTTGTTATCTTCATCTACCAATTTCTTTGAGGATGAGTATCTGTTGTGGGGGTCACAGTATAATTTTATGAAAACCTTTCTAGTGAATTAAGTCATCTTATTAATGCTGATCTTCGCAGGAAACCCAAATATTTATCTTATTCTGGGTGAACTACTTCATGTTGGCTTAATAATTTTTGCAAATGTCTCAAGTCTCAACTTCCACCAACTTCATGGATAGTTGGTTGACAAGATAATGCCTTTTTGTTGTCTGAAGGCAATGGGGAAAGTTCCCATGGTGTTAATCCCTACTAAGCGAAGGGCTAGGGGCTTTGGAACAAAGATAATTCCATTGATGAAATGCCGATGGTTTTTATAGTGCAGCTGACAACTCTTGCATTTCTACACAAAATAAAGTGCATCTTTCTTTATAGTAGTCCAGTAGAATCTCTGTTTTGAGATTTTCAAGACAAGGGCTCTACCCCAAAACACATAGTTAGCAGACAATTAGCACCTAACAGGAATGCATTTAAGATAGGGCCTTGTGAATGCTCCTTCAAAGAGCTTGTCCTCGAGGATCATCAAAATTGTAGATTGTCAATGGAAACTTGTAGCAAAAGTAGGGTTGATGGAAAACAACCTGTATTGAGTAAGTTCACTATTAAATTCACTATTAAAGGACTCTAGATACTAAGGAAGTGAACGTCCTCGATGAATCTTGTTTGATAATGGTCACCAATCATTGAAGTACCAAGCTTGTACAAGGGCACCAGCTTAGACGTGTTTTGCTCTTTGGGGAAGTGAATAAAACTCAAGATATGAGCGACTTAACCAGGTTAAAATATTGCACAAGTCAATGGTTGTGTATATCGAAGTTGCCCTCTACCAAGGAAGCAATGGGGAAAATCAGATCATATTTTCCACAACTTTAATTCAATTTTTTAGGCTTGATTCACAGACAGAATTAGACCATGTTTTTTACAGGGGAAGAAAAATATAATTGATAAATCTGGTGGATGACTTTAAGCATCATGCAAGATACGTTGATTACAAGCAAAATTTGTTAATTAAAACTCTATCATAACTAGATAAGTGCTTTGTGAAGTTAACAACCCAAAAAAACGCAGGATAAAGAAAAACAATGGCATTTGGGAGACAAACAAGATACTGCGGTGGAATCACCATACCTCAACAAGAAAGTAATCTGCATAAGGCACATCTGCAACTTGCTGTGACGTCTCGATCACTAATTGTCTAGAAGAAAAAACAAAGAGTAATTGGTTAGTACCAAAAACAATTAAAAACAACAAATTTTCATTTCAAGATGGGAAAACATAGCTGCAGGCAATGACTTATCAGAAAAGCAACAGGGAATGAAACATGCATAAAACTCGCATGAAAAAATAGAGAAATTAGATTTTAATCTAAGAATGAACGTAAAAAAATGTATAAACTTAAACAAACACAAATTTAGCCTTGGTTGGATGATAGGAATTTGATTTGAAGTAAATAAGGGAGAAAAATCTAAAAATCTAAACAATTTTATAGATGCATAAGCAAGCCAAATATTTTCTGAATTTATTTCATTTCCCATACACATCAACTCGACTCGTTTACGCCCCTACTGACATAAATCCTGTCAACTGCATGGTCACAGGCTCCCCATCATTCTCTTCTTTCTTCTTGACTCCACTTTCAATCTTCTGACCTCCCACTTATTTCCGCACATTGCTGAACTCCTTTCTACTTGTTGATAACTTCCCAGAATCTATGATGATAAACTCAACCAACTACAACCCTGTCACCTTCTCTCTCTCTCTCTCTCTCTCTCTCTCTCTCTAACTCTCTAAAACTCTCCTCTCATTCTCTCTCACTCTCCTCTCTCCATTTCTCTTTCTAAATAGAGAGATAATACACAAAAAAACCTCTATTTCTCTCTCGCCGTATCATTCTCTCTTTTTTCTGAAAAAAAGGATAAAATGTAAATTCCTAAGTTGTCTTTTGTCTCACATCGCTTCATGGTCGACAATCTCATGCATGATAATCTAAAATGCAACTAATCAAAACTCTCAAAATCCCAAGCACGATCCATTTGGCTTGATGAGTAGAACTTCCGTGCGATTTTCTTTTATGCGTCGAGGGATATCCATAGGTGACGCTTACAACATAGTGGGTAGGCCCTGTGCATGTTTTTTTAAATATAATAAAGAAATTTGCAAATTAAGTAATCGTGCACGTTATTCTAATATATCTAAAAATTTTTGTACATTCTTTCATGCAGATGATGATGGACAATGTTCTCTTTTCTAAGCATTAAAGGTTATAAGAATTGGATCAGATATCTCAGAACAAAGATCATGCACACTTTTTTTAAGTATGATAGCAATGCCTACACCCCTGAAGATAATCTCCATGTCAGAGAGATGTTGAGAGGTTGTTGAAATTTTCAATAAACAAATTTGCAAAAAAACAAAACTAAAAAGAATATCTCGACTCATTAACATGATGAAAAGTAAAAAAAACAACAACAGTAAAACTGTAAAAGTGAAATATTAAAGAACACCAGAATGTAAAAAATGTTGCATCAAATGCAAGGTTGTGAAAATCGGACCGGACAACGAACCGGAAAGGCGGGTTCACGGTTCGATGGTTGAATCGGAACAAATACTAATTATATAAAAAAATAATGTAATTTATGTAATAATGTAAATTACACTATATCTACTTTGGCATTATATATCTGTGACAATTAAAACAATAAAAATGACCTTTTGTTATCTATTTTGTTTGTTTCCTAAGAATAAAAGTCACTTTCATGCTAGACATTTCAGGCATACACCAAAATTAATTAATGGATTGCTGATATTTAACTGATCTTCATAAGAAGCTAAAAACCACAAATGAGTTGTTAATTATTTATAGTAATTAGTTAACTAGTTTAATTTCTAATTAAGGGAGGTTAGTACCTAGCTATAGCATTGATGAAATAGTTTAACTTCTTCTGTTTTAGTATTAACTAAATTACAGAAAGCAACTCACTTAGGAGGAACTTCTATGGGAAAATGGAAAGACATATAAACATGTAAGACAACATACATATAACAACAGCAACATCAAGCCTTTATCCCACTACGTGGGGTCGGCTACATGAATCCTTTTTCTCCATTGTGTCCTATTAAAAGTCAAATTCTCGTTTAAATCTAATAAAGAAAGGTCATTCCTAATATTTTCTAACCAAGTCTTTTTAGGTCTACCCCTACCTTTCTTAACACAAGTCAAATCTAATACCTCTACTCTCCTAACCGGGTCATAGGAATGCCGCCTTTTATGTGACCAAACCATCTAAGGCGACTCTCTCTAATCTAAGACAACATACATATAGAAGCAAAATTATTGTCGCTAGCATAACCACAAAGTATACTCTTAGTGACACACATTTCCTCTACTTATTTTAAGCTCACCAATTTTTATGCAATAAGACCCCCTTAATTTGAACAAAGATAATCACATAAAACATTTAAAAAAAAACAAATAAAAGTGCATTATCGATGCAGTGAGAGCTTATTCATTCATGAAAGGTGTTAGCAACAGGCTCACTATAACGGACAGGTTTGGGTGGCCGGTCAACCAAACCGGCCAGCCCTCCCATTAAAGTCGCGACGACAGAAACGAGGGGGCGGTTTTGCGAACAAAAGATAAAGGGGGAACAAGTTGGGCGTACCGAACTCGTGTGAGAGAAAAATTTGGAGACCCGTTTTGCCATTTTTAGAGAACGATTGCGTTGGAGGATAAGATTTATCAATTCATTTTCATTCTCATTGCTAAAGAACTGGAGATTTGGAAGAAATCTCAATGAATGAGAAGAACGAATGAGAGGAAGAGGGAAGAATGTTTGTTGAGTTTTTTCTTTCTATTTCCGTATAAATTCCCTTGTTTTGCTTCATCTAAAGCAAGTTATATTTTCATAAGGGAAAAGGAAGAGATTGAAAGCGAAAGAAATTGGGCTAGAAGGAAGAAGAAGGAATTGGACTTTGGAATTCATTCTTAAGGAAATGTAAGTGATTTAGTTTGAGACCATATGTTTTCATTTTTCATTTCTTTTATTGAATAAACAATGAGAAATATATTCTAATTTAGGTTGAAAGAATCCAAGTGATATAGACTTTGGTTTGACGGTGGAGGAAGAATGATTTGCGAAAGGAAAGGAAAATTTATGAGGTAAATTTTGTGGAAGGAAATCAAATCTTTATTGAGATATTTAATGAAATTTTAATATTTCTTTTATTATTATATTCTTGTGAGCAGTTAAAGATTTTCAATACTGGACTTTAAAAAAGGAAAAGAAAATTGAAATAGTTGTACCTTAATTGGTACATTTAGACGGTGCTTCTGTACAAATGAAAATAGATATGAAAATGAATTGAATGTCAAATCTATTAACAGAAATGTTAAATGGAAATGGATAATTATAATCATATACAAAAAGGACTTATGTGAGATTAAATTGATAAAGATAGCACGTCTAAGGGCGCAAACTAAACTTCCACTTTGAAATTGAATGCTTACAACTTTACTCAAATTAAATTTGAATGATGAAATAAATGAGTCAACCCCTTATTTATAGGAGGGATAAAGAATATCTTACAAGGCCCACCTAACTAAAATCCAACCACATAAGTCTACATGCATGTGAATAAACAAACGTACCTTATAATCTTAAAATGAAACTTTGCACGTACTTTAATTCATGCCAAACATTTGTAAAACATAAAATCTAATATTTTAAAATCATGTTCACATCACAACATATTTATTAAATTTAAGTGTAATGCATTGAGTGTACAACCCCGTTAGGATGTATGCCACTACCTCAATAATCATGTAACTACCATAATAAGCATGCAACTATATCATGAAGCCACCATAAGAAGCGTGCAATCACCTCGATAAACATGCAACTATTTTGAGAAGCATGCCACCAATATAAAAGTACACAAGTGCATCAAGTATAATATATTGAAAAGTGTACGAATATACTATGCAAATACATTGGCAAACATGCATAGGCGCATTAGAAAATGCACACCATGAAATACGAACAAGTATACTATGCAAATGCATATAAAAGCATACAAATGCACCATGTAGATGCATAAAAAATGCATAAGTAAATTAAAAAATGTGAGGAATATTATGCAAATTCAACAAAAAGCATATAAATGCATTGTGTAAACATATCAAAAAATGCACAAGTACACTGAAGAGCATGTAATATCATGCAAATGCATCCAAAAAAAAGTAAAAACATCGTGTAGATGCATTAAAAATGTGAAAGTACATTGAAAAATGTGCAACTATACTATGCAAATACGCTAAAACATGCAAGTGTATTGTGTATCCGCAACAAAGAGTGTGTACCATGCAATGTTTAAAATTGCGTAATTGGGTATTGAGGCGTTTTTGTTCATGAGGCGAGGCGTAAGCCTCAAGGCGTTTTGAGGCGTAAGCCTCAAAATAAAAAAATTGCATAAAGTGATAATAAATGTCAAAAATGATTTTTATATAATACCTAAAGAATATGTTAAATGATGACATATTAACTTTATATTAAATTATGAATTAACAAATTGACATACACATGAAACAAAAAATTACACAAGATATAAAATGACAAGTAATAAATTGCATGAAATAGAATTAAAATTCAAATATTATAAAAGCAAAACAATATTAAATATAGAAATTGCATAAAAGTATCATATAACATCAAGTTCAACTCCAAATTTTCTTCTTTTTTTTCAATTCTCTACTAATTTACATTTAATTCTTAATAAAAGTTGAAATAGTTGGCAACAACTTAGGAATTATCTACATTGCCATCACTGAGGTGGTCTTTATCTGAGTTGTTGAATAACAAATTGGTATATCCCCTGTCTCATTTAGTAAAGTTGAACGACTTCCAATATGCTTCTTTTTAATTTATTTCAATCATATTCATCTTTTAAAAATATTTTCATCAAAATAAATATGTGATTAATGCTCCGAAATTTTTAGGATGGTTGTGTGCAGTTTTCAAGTGATTGTCGGTGACGACTATAATGGTGTTGGTTACGGCAAAGGCTGCGAGTGGAAGTAGAGGCAAGCAAGAGGAAGTTGTTGTGTTTGAATGTATATGAAGACTTGATTTATGTTAGTTTTAACAAAAAAAATTATACAAATAGGGTGAGGCGTAAGCCTCACGCTAGCGAGGCGAGGTGGGCCTCGGACAAGTTGAGGCGAAGTAGAGGCAAGCAAGAGGAAGTTGTTGCATTTGAATGTGTATGAAGACTTGATTTATGTTAGTTTTAACAAAAAAAATTATACAAATAGGGTGAGGTGTAAGCCTCACGCTAGCGAGGCGAGGCGGGCCTCAGACAGGTTGAGGCGCAAGCCTCATAAAAAAACTAGAGGCGTAAGCCTCGAGGCGTTTTTCACTAAATTGTGCTGAGGCGAGCCTCATATTGCGCAATTTTAAACAATGGTACCATGTAAATAAACCAAATGTGATACATGTTCTTTAAGTGATGGTTTTTCCACTAAATGACAACATATAAATTGTTAAGCACATGGCTCTTAGACCAATTGGTTTTGTGCAAAATGACACCGTTAAACTACGATCATAACCAAAGCTTGCAAGTTTTTAAATGGTTAATAAATTATTGAGTAATGAATCATATAGTACACTTGATATGACATAAAGCTCTTTGTTAATTAAGATCTACTTAAATTGACTCCTTTAACAAACATTTACCTCAGATCTACAAGATTGTAGTTGACAAAACAACCCATATTTGCCGATAAAGATCATGCAATTAAATTGATTTAATTACCTCCACTTACTAAGTAGATTAGAGATCATGACAACAACGAACAACAAAATTATGAGATCTTAATCGTGTTCATCATCATTCTTTCCACCATCCGTTTTAAGTTGAAGATTGTAAATTTATCAATCTTAAATCAAATTAAAGTTACAATACGTTAAGCAATTAGCCTCCAACAATTAGCCTTAACAAAAAGTCCTCTTTTGTTATCAGGAGGGGTAATTAACTATAGGAGCTTGCATCCATGAAAAACCTAAAACCAAATCACAAAGTCCTTGTAAAATAAGGGCAATATCTCTTGGTAATATCTTATCTTCAATCTAATATTCCTTATGAAAATTTGACATAAAAATACCAAAACTCTCAAAGCAAACCTGGGGTGTGAATTTTTAGAGCCACATAATTTTATCATTGAGAAGAATAATACATGTTTTATAATTTTAGGCATTTTGGGGGCATAATGCATTTGGAACAATTTTCTTTTATAGTAATAGAGCACATTAAGCTAATATGTAAAATATGGATTAGAAATGATAAAGATATAGCCACCATATTGATATCTATTACAATATATAGAAAATGAAAAAAATTCAAACAAATAAATATTTTTCTTTTGAATGTTCTGCAATTGCAATGAAACTAAAAACAAACATATCTAAGAGAATAAATGACCTAATGAAGTGATGAAGTGCAGTCTGTCATTTAGTTTGATAATGGGATGATACGTTGATTTTAATAAATCTAACAATATAATCTAGTGTAGGAAATGCAATTCCGGCCACATGATGTTTCAGAGAAATATACTTTCTCTTATATCAAATATGATGTACCACAGGTTAGGATGATTTTTATAAGTTTTGAAAAAGAAAAATTTCACCATTTATTTAACCCAAAACTTACTATGATATGACTAGATATTAGTTTTGATTAACACAAGAGATTATAAATTTAACAATGATGATATTTTTATTATTTTTATATAAAAACAAGAGTGATAAATTAGATGATATCACAAAGAAGGAAGAATAACAATGCATAATAAAAATGAAATTCCTACAATGAAAACTAGACTACCCAATAATGTAACCTATGATAATGAGGATTACTCCCATGAGCAATCCTTCATCGTGGCTGTGATCTTTATCCCTTGGTCCATCTCTAAGAGTTGTACCACTCACACTCAAGAGATCCCTTATTTGGATGAAAGAGAACACAAGAAAAATTCTTCATTTAATAACCAAATGTTTAACATTATAAGAGATTCCTTATTTAGAAGAATAAGAGGGCGAGATAAAAAGACAAAATTAGTTTCAAATTCAAACCTATCACACCCATCATTATTTTCATACAATATACATACAACCATTGGCTATGATATAAGAAATGACCTAACACAAATAGGTCCAAAATATTATTTAAAAAAAAAAGCTCAACATAACCCATGACCCAAGATGATCCAAATACATGAAATTAACACTGCAATGCATTAGCTAACACTCGTACATAAATAGTTAGCAAAGTAAGTCCTAGGAAAATAAATCTAAAATCATTAAGTAAAAAATTAGCTAAAAAATGCATGACCTATCATGTTATCTCTTTATCTTGTAACTCTTGTTTATATTATTTTCTTTCTACTAATGAGAAGAGGTTTCCCAAAAAATTTTATTAAAAAAAAAGTGAAACAAAATACTATTGATATCTAATAATGATAAGTATTAGATTCGAAAACAAAACTACAGCTCTAGATGATTTTCCTCACAACCAAATAAAAATACAATCTAGATAATATAAAAAGCATGCATCATAACTATGGAGCTTTGATTGAATCATTCATGATGCAAACATTGGCGAAGAGCAAAAAACATCTGTATATTAGCATTGTTAATTCCTTAAATCACAAACTAAGTTCAATTTTCCTATTATGGTTTGATCATGTTTGGCTTCCTAAGCACCTCGTATAGCCTTACTAGAGCAAATAGCCAGCTTAAGAAAGCATGCTATAAAATATTAGGCTTATAAGAGCATAAAATTATCCTGCTTATTTGTTGCTTATTCTAATATGGTTTATCTTCCCCATGACAATCCTAACTATTAATCATCTTTTGAAACTTCTTGCATAACAGAACTTATTTAAAAGTTACCATGCAAATATTGATTTTAAAAAATCATTGAACAACTATCACAAATGACTTATTAATTTCTTCTCGTAACTTTCCTGTAACCCTTCTACGCTCATCCATCTGTACTCATCTGATTGGCCAGGTTTCTACACAATATTAGCTTTAAACTCCATTTATTTCTCTTTATTTGATTATCTTCCACTGCCTTTGCCCTGCTATGCCTGTCTTCACTGAGTACCTGAGAGAGATCAGTTTCTAGGAAAAGAAAATTATTGCAGGATCAAGGATGGTCTCAGAGGTGGTTGATTAAGAATGGCTGTTTACATGTTGTCATATATTTTTGTTATTTTGAGGGGCCACTCAATATCCAAAAGTATTGTCTACCTTCCTAAATATGCACCCCAATGTACCGTGCAAACCACAAGTTAAAATGTAGAAGTTCTGTAATAAATATAGGAGGTAAATTTTCTTCACATATACAATATTTGATGCAAAATGCCACTATTGATATGGCGTTACATGGGGTGGTGTCGGGATCAGAATCTTGTCACATTGTTAGTCCGTTTCAACTAATTGCAGCTTCCATCCCTATAAGACATAGTTCTAAGCCTCACCAAATAACTATCATCCAAATTTATACATTATTTTAACAAAATTGGAATTAAAATTAAGCAAAAAAACATCAAGAAGACGATAAATAGTTTATAGACTACCTTTTCCTGTAAACACGGAATTTCTGAGCTTCCTGACAACGCCCATATTTTGCCCCTAGAGTACAAGAAAACAAAGCAGAATAAGATACTATGCATCTACATGAACATAGATCAAAATGAGATGCAAAGAACTAAGATTGTTGTGGAAAAATGATTCACAAACACTTGTGCAAATTGATGATACCAATATATATCTTGACCGGATGTAAAAATGACAAATCACGAATGTATCCAAATTGTTCATGTCGACGCCAAGAAGAGCATTGAAAGTCTGATACAATAGCAGAGAAAATAAAGAATATGCTAATCCATTAAAAGGGAAAAACAAAACAAAACACATCAAGTCTAATCATAGGCTCGTAGCAAATTTACCTTTATCGCCACACTTTTTATGGAAGCACTCCACAAAATTATAAGCTTGGTCAGAGATGAAAAGATTAAAAAACTCCTCCATACAAACCTATTTAACAAAAAAAAATGTTATCCGAAAACAATGTATTAACTGAGTCGGTAGGCAAATTATGCCTAAAGTACGTATTTAAGATCCATATCATGTTACCGGAAACTTTGCCTGGGCAACAATTGTAAAATTTTCAGGAACTGCAAAAAAGGTAATACATGGCGTTAAGGGCATGACATACATTCACACCCAAATACATGATCAAAAGAAAGGAAATATGGCATATAATTTGAATTAAAAAGTCAACATGAAAGAAGTAGGCAAACCATTGGGAGCGTCAACATCCTCACATTGCAAAGATAAATATCCTGAATTATTCTCAGTATTTTCTTCTCTATTATTACTTTGTTCTACCTTGTTTTCTAATAAACTGGTATCCGTTTTGCCATTTGGCTGATGCCTGCATTCTTCTAAATTTACATCAGTATCCCTGGGTGCAAGTCATGAAATGGGTCAATTCCCTAACAGAGCATATCAATTTCAATAGTATTCAACAATATAATACCTGCAAGAGAATGATAAATCATCGGAAAACTGTTTAGAACCTCTTTCTCTCTCTGCAATTGCATTTGCAATGTCTTCGATGCTGGTTTCAGTTTTCAAGTCCTACAATATAAAGGAAATCATCAACCGGTCCTAGAATTGAAAGGTAGTACAATACTTTCTATGTATGACTAACTAGACAGTCTAGACTATGGTCTCCATGGATGAAATCTAGCATCTTATAAGATTGGCATGTGACAAATCTAAGCGACGTAGAAAGCTATAAAGATGCACAAGATTCCACCAAAGATTACAAATTCAGAATAATAATGACACTTATATGAGTAGTACTATAATCTGTTATATAAAATGAAGTTGCTTCAACTCTTAAGAGATGGTTATGTTGCTCTACAAGTTCATTTCCATATGCGTTAAACTAGGGGGGGCTGCATGAAGGGGCAAGACCGGTAAGGATATTAGTTTTGAGTTTGCTTCAAAAACAAAACAGTGGTGAAGAAAGTTTTTGAAAAGTAACAATAAAGCACAAAATTACCAAGCAAAGCCTGAAAACTTCATATAAAAGACCTTCAGAACGCCTGACCTACTAATGGAAGCCTAGAATAAGATATTTGTAATGGAGGGCTCAATACCAAAAACATACATGCAAGGTTCAATCTTGAGATTGAGAGGCTATTAATCATATTTATATTAGTTTGTCTAATTTTTATCAATGGTTTTAGGGCTGATGGGACAGGTGACAACCAATGATAAATATGTCAAAAAATTACATGTATTATATGATATTTCTTAGAAATTAATTTATAAAAATGAAGATAAAAATAAAAGTGGCAAGTAATTAACCGGTAGAGCACACTTTGTACTTTAACACTTTGTATATGCACTTTATTTTCTTATATATGCTCCTGCTTCTTGCTTAAAATAAAGCATTTTATTATTCAAGTACCAAAGCAAATTTATCTTTACAGTTTATCACTGCACTAAGCTAGCTAAACTTATAATCATAAATGATCATATTAGTTTATATAATAGCATGCATATTACTATTATTTCTTGTATGTTTAAACATAATATTAAAATTATTTATTGCGCTGAGTATTTAGCTCATCAAATATTACGACAATCATTTTTAAAGAAAGAAAAATGAGCATATGGGATCATAGGCAGATACCAAGTTATTTCGTACCTTAGTATTATGGATAGATGTCCAGTTTTAGATGTAATATAGAAAATAATGTACATGACGTAAATTAAAAACTTCTAGAATGTATAAATTTTCTATGAAATATTAGAAGCTTTGTAATATATTTTGATGATTTAAATTATGCTTACTTTCGTAACAATGCTCATGCCAGATTTATTAAATGATTATGAAGTGTAATGTGAATTTTGGGACTATCAAACCAGACTACTTTTTACTCATTTCATCCTAATTAATAAAGTCATGAAAGAAGTTGGTGAATAATATGTCTGATTGGATTGTCCCCCTTTGTTATGCCCTTATGGTAGACTAGAGAGGGGTCAAAGTGGAGTGTGACATTTGAACCCTTATCTTCTTTTCCTTCCAGCAAATTTCCAGCATCCAAACACAGCCTTAAAAAAACTCCCCTTTAGAGCTGGAGGTCTCTGTCTTACTCAGCTGAAGATTTTCCACATTGTTTCACATAGTAAGATTTGCTGGAAGTTACAAAACAATTGTCTTAGGAGCAAATGGATAAAATGTAGGTACTTAATGATGAAAAGTTATTGAACCTGTAAAAAAAGAGCCATCAAATTGCCGCCTTTAGAAACCATCTACCTACAAGCATCTTATGAAAACAAGGTTCACTCTTCATGTGGTAGCAAACCCATGGCTTGGTGGAAGATGCCCATCTAACTTGGTTTATATCCAGAGACTTGCTTATCATTTAAGTTACTGCAATGATTCTCACATTTCTCAGGTCCAACTATCAAGAGCCTGGGGATTGCCTTGCCAAACCAGGAACCTAGCTTACAAGCATCTTAAGACTCAGGTTATGGATGTTGACTTTGTTGGTTCTGAAAAAATCTATTGGAATCTAGCCCACTCCGGGAATTTCATCCATCCAGCAACCTTTTAAGACTAAGCCTAGGGATAACTTTGTTTGGAAGAGTAAGGTTACAAAACGACAAAAAAAATGATATAACTCTGTTTGATCAGAAAACACAAAAAAAATCTCAAACAGAACATTCCTCTTGATGATGATTTTGGTCTCTTGTGCAAATCCGATGTTGAGAATCATCATAATTTATTTCTAAGATGCCATTTATCTTCGTCTATTTACTATGAGGTTCTAGGCATGTTGATGCAATGGTTGCAATGCCACAGGACCTAGAAGACGTTGCAAGCAAAAGGAAAACGAAACAGAACACTTGTTCTGGGAAGAAGAACTGTTTTTCTATTCAGAAGTAAAATTCTGTTGTATCAATATTACCTTTTGGTATATGTAATTCTACCATGCTCTACTAAAACAGAAAAAAATACTCATCATAACTAGTAGTACGGTTTAAACAGAAATAGAAAAAGGAGTAGTGGCAAAGTGATAGTTTGTTAGAGAATGGTGTGATGTCCTACTGGTCTTCTCCAGTAACCTGTTCCGCATCACATGTGCATTGAATTTAGGTACTTTAGCCACACCTTGAAGACCATTGATTCAAAATCTTTATTTTAACGCATTGCTGAGGAGTTACTCAAGCCAATCCAGTATGTTATTGCATCTATCATCAGGCATCTTTGGAATGAGAGACATCAGATTTTCAAAGGAAAACAATTTGAAACTCTTGTTATTCTTGACCTTGCCAACAAGGAAGCCTACGTGAAGCTTAGAAGTACTAATTGCACGGGATTGAGATGATGTTTTAGTGCAGAGGAATTAGGATTTGATCTTGTACAAATTTTCCCTTTTGGTACCATTTGCCTTAATACCTTACAGGCTTTTGTATTTTGCTTGATTCTTATTGAGTCATAATATATTAGACACCCACACTTCTGTGCTTTTCCACAAAAAATAAAAATAAAAATAAAACTACCACTTGATTTGAAATACAATTTTAAGAGAAAATTAAAGAAACTAAAAATAAATTGCAGTATGATATAACATGACGATGAACAGAAACCTGCAAACATTCTAAATTCTGAAGCATGTTACAAACCTGAGGATCAAGGATGAATCTGTCATCACAAGCATGTTGTGCCCAACCATCCACAATGAGCTTATAAGCTTCATCACGTGACAAAAAGGAACCAAAAAAGTGCTGCAATAAAAATTAAAACCATAAGAAACGGATCCATGAGTCAAGAAACCTTTAGCATGTAAGATGCAAAGTTATCCAAGAAAGAAATAAACATAAACATAATGCATGTGCAAAATTGGCGACAATAATTTTTGGGAACAAACAAGTTTAGCAGAAAGGGGAAAAATTAACGAAAGCAAATAAATACCTTCTTCCCACCAGCAGCAATTTCTATGGCATTAGGAAAAATTGCAGCAGTTTTTGCTTTCCTCACGCATGTCACTTCATGAAATGGAATTGTTTTCTGCGTCATAAAATAATCCAAAAGCATTAAATACATCTCTTAAAACAAAAAGGTAGTCAAAGTAACTTTCTTTTAAAGCATAGAGTTTTAAAAGAAAAAAAACAGTTGCACTAAGGAACTTCCAATAAAGCTAAAGAACAAACTTAAATACAAATAAATGGACAATATAATACGCATGATGGTTACCAATTTATTAACACAAAAGAAAAATGAAAACGTTTATAGAGATTACAACATCATAAAAATGCTATGTCCATATCATTAACAGAATCTCCAGACACCTCCAAACCAATAATTTCAGTGGTTTTCTATGAAAGGCCACAATTACGGCCATGTTAGTTCAAGCACCTAGTGCAGCTCCCGTTCAGGAATAGGAAGTCCAGTTAGACAGTTAACACGCCCACCCAAAGAGCAGGAACTTTAAGCTCGGCAGCAGGTCCCACTTACCAGAAATATCACAGATAAAGTTAAAATCATAAAAAAACATGTCTAAATCCTATGAAGAAACAAATAAGGAAATATTTATAACGATAAAGAACTTTCAATCATAATAAATGTTTGCAGTAAAAGCCAGACCAAGCCTTTCTTCCACTAGAATTAACAGTAGAGAACTTTAAAGATAGAAGATTCAGAATTCAAAGAATGCATTGATATAATAAAACACAGTACCAAAGATGCACAAGAAGTAAGAAAATTTATTCAAGCTAAAGATCCAACCATGAACATATTCAAGAAAGGTTAAAAACTAAACCACAGAAAGCTGCTATCAGGACTACTGACCACCAATATGAGACCAACATACTCAAGGAATCTGAAAAGGGGTTAAAGAATCCAAAAAAAGCCCAAATTAATAGAAGACAGCATAGGGTCAAGGATTTACTAATGCAAACTTAGTACGTGGCGCACAAGGACACAGATAATAGATTGAAATTTGCAATCCACCAACACATAGTTTACATAAAATTTAACTCTTTTGAATGTAAAACCAAAGAACACGTACAACTCATCAAATAAAAAAAAAATTGCAAGAAAATCTTAGATCGAATGCAAGACATGATAATTAACATTCTCATCACAAAGAAAGCTAGACTGCAGCAAACTTGATCAAATTCCAATTGCAAGCAAAACAATCACTAAAATGCTTAGATGCAAAATGAACAAATATAAAGTTTATCAAATAGAAGATTTAGATCTCATGCTAGCACTATGAAAAGATTCCATGAAAATTATTCCCTAAAAAATTCGTTATCAACACTTACACCTCACTAGAAGAATTAGCATACAACCAAGTGCAGAAAAATATGAGAGGAAACTGGACTTTTATTGAGCAATTGATAGCTAACGAAAGAGCTAGCAGCAACAAAGCAAAAGATCAAGCAATTAACTGAACCAGGCCAACATGTGAATTAGATATCAAAACACAACCATTTCTCCAGGGTGGGTCAACGCGAGCATGATTAAAACTACTAAAATTAAAAATGAAGTTCTAAAAATTAAAGGAACTACTAACATAGCATCAACTAAAGTAAAACCAAAACTCATAAAACAATTTGCAATGCTAATTGGGTGTAAGAATACAGGGTCAAACTATGACCGCATGAATAAGCAACTATGTTTAAAAACAAGGACTGAGCTCTGTGGACTTGATTTTTCTAGTCCACAAATGTAAACATTTCATTTTGAGCACATGTTGCAATCTCATGAGCAATTATAAAAAGTGTCCACTAATTGTATGTAATCACATTTTTTATTCCCAAAAACTCGCCAATGGGTTGGACTATTGAACTGATGCATAACATTGTATATGACAATAGAGAAAAAAGATTCATATAGCCAACTCCACATACTGGAATAAAGGCTTATTGTTGTTTTTGTTAGATGTCACTCAACATCATTATAAATTATGTCTCCATTGCTTAGTACCATATGATACAATCAACTTGATTATAATTTTGAAATATTGCAAAAACTTAATTCTATTGGGCCTTATAATGATTATAAAAAGATAGAAGTCTTGCAATGAGGATGGATTGGATAGTGAGTAAATCAACCGCTATAACATTTGATTATTTATTTGTTTCTATAGTAAGCATGATAATAACGGATAAAAAAAGATATAAAATAATTAAAATAAGAAATACAATATATAGAAATCTGATCAAGTTAGATGCATTAAAAATGAATATAATAGGATATTGGTTAATGATGAAGAATTAAAGAAAGATGAAATATTATATTGAGAAGTTACTAAATAAGAGCTTCTAGAAAAAAAATTATCTAGGAAAAAAATAATAAAAAATAAAGTGCAATATTTTATAGATTGATAAAAGAAAGGAATTAACCCTAAAAAGATGCATAGTAACAAGTCTTTAGATTTAATTAAAACAGTACTTCCTTAGATTTACATAATTGTGGGGGATATTATAGTGATTGTATTAACAAATCTTTTCGATGAAACTTTTAAGACCGAGAGGATGTGAAATGGTGGGAGAGAAAATATATTTTGATACAAATATTCAAGAATAAAGGAAATGTTTAATATTCTATTAATTATAAATGAATCAAATTTAAGACATACAATGAAGCCATGGGAAAGAGTAATGGAGCATAAGCTTAGAAAATTACATAAATTTTAAAGAAGCAATTTGATTTCATGTAAAGAAAATCTACTATCGAAGTAATTTTGTGTCAATATAATTGATGAAAAGTTATAGAGTACAAAAATAGAATTTTCATATGATTATTAATCTTGAGAAAGCATATAAGCGAGTACTATGAATAATTGAATTGATATACTTTAAAGCAAAAAGGCGTGTGTCAAATATATGTTGATGTTATTAAATATATGTATCATTGAGCATTGACTAGTATGAGAAATAGTCTTTAGAGCGATTTAAGAGTGTTCAAGTATCATAAATTTACATAAGGATTAGCATTGAATTATTCATATCTTGTTTATTGATTATAGAGATGCTTATAAAGGATTTTTAAAGCGATGCACCCTAGTGCATGTTTTTTGCAAATAATATCGTTCTAAATAGTGATGCATCCATTAAATTAAGTGAAAATTTTGAGATGAGAAAATATTTTGAGGATATAGGCCTCAAAATTTGAAGAACAAAAATTGAATATATAAAATATAATTTTAGTATTTAATAATAATAATAGACTTAGGAATTGAGGAAACATTTAGAAAATATAAGCTTAATAAAAATTGAATGTATGATATGTTATTTTGGTATGTATACTATTAACAATTATCATTCAATATGATTAGAAGAAAAGGTGATACACAAGGGTGATGGGTACAAGCAAAGTTGTGAAAATTGAACTGGACATAAAATCTGAAGGAGAGATTCAAAGTTTAATGGTTTAACCAGGGTTAAATTGGATGATTTAATAAATATTAAAATTATTTAAATAAGGTCTAAATAATATAATAATGATGTAATAATTATGAAATAATTGGATTAAAAAATGAAAGAAATGTATACACAAATAATATCTTTTATAATTTTAAATTTAAACACCATTAATCTTCAAATTGGGTTTATATTTAATATAAATTTAATTCACATATAATCTTATAAATTTAATTAAAATTATTATTATTTTATGTTATATGTTTAGATATGATTTACACATATATTGTATACTAAATTCACATTATGAGTGTCACTTCTGACTGACCCGACTAACCTGAACTCGACCCAAAAAATTCAATTTTGGGTTGACCTAATTAACAAACCCACACCTCTCGCTCGCATCCACAGCTTTTGCACAAGCGCACCGCTTCCGCATGAGCGGACCTGCACGTGGCTTTCACAATATGCACTAGCGCACCACTTTCACACAAGCAAGACCACGAGCGCAATGCTTCCACTTCGGCTTTACCGCCCGCTGCCTAACACACCACTTCCGTCTGCTGCCTAGTGCACTACACTGCTTCCACGACGCTTCCGCACTGCATTCAGGGTCCAACGTCTGCACCTCACGATTGCGTCCAGGTTTATCGCATCGCACTGTAGATCCGCAGTCCGCATTATGTCTAGCATGACTGCACCACATCGCATCCTTGAGACTTGTGCTTTAGCTTGCTCTTGGATCCTCAGGTTCATGGGTCGGGTTGGGTTGACTCGGATTTGAGGCGGGTCGAGTTCGGGTTTAGCTTTTTGACATGTTTAAGTAATCGGGTCAAGTTTGGTTTGGAGCAATGGAGGGCAGATCAATTTCAGGTTGGACCCGAACCAGACCCGAAAACCCATTTTGACACCCATAATTCACATTATAAATTTGCATTTATAAATTATTCATACTAAAACATTTATTATTAATAAATAAATAAAAATTAAAATTTATAACATATAATTAATTAATTAGTAAAATATAAA